TATATACTGTATATTCCTTGATAATTTCACTCGAGGTGACCCCAACAATGGCGACTTTCGAGATGGGTGCCATATTCTGGACATAGCCTAAGAGATATGCTCCCTCGCCCATTACTTGTTGGGCTATTCTGATATTTTGTTTCCCTTTTCTTTCTGAAATAAAAGGATGTCCTGTGACGTTTGACTCACCCTGTAGCGTGTTTAGCTAGTATCTACTTCTGCTTTTTTACTGTCATGGCTATAAACAAAATGCAGCTCAATATAATGTGCTTCTAGATGGGAGCAGTGATCATCTGTAACTGATATACAGTATTTGTCCCAAACACTAAGAAACCATCACACTATACATGTACTTTTACACCTCTATACTCAACAGTAATTCAGTGAGCACCTTTCTGATAACTATATGAAAAAGAAGTAAAAAATTTTTTTAGGTAACTAATTGTTATTAGTTACAAACTATCACAGAACAACTTAGCAACTTTATAAAACAAAAATCCATGCATCAGATTTCTCTGGTTTATTGACACGAATCATTAACTATCTCATTTCAGATACAACACATGTCCAGCAAAGCGCAAAAAGAGTAAAAAGCTTTTTTGTCCTAGGCAAGGATATACATTTAAACAACATTATCTGTCACTAGCAGGGAGTGGGTTTGGGGATACATGACATGAAACAGGATTTTCCTCTAAAAAGAAGACCTCTTCCTACTTCGGGTGCATAATGTAAGTCAAAAAAGCAGGTTTCCATTCTGAGATACATAACTTCATACATTCTGTAGTTTTTTTTTTTTCATCCAAAACAAGTGAGTTGGATCAATTCCTCCTACACAAACCGAATAAACAAATACAAAGTCAACCAGTGCCAGCAGTTACAGTGATACAACATGTAAAAAATAAAATAATGGCAAATAGAGTAATTAAACATACACTAAATTATGAGTCAGAAAATGAAAACAAATGTAACTTACAACTCTCAACCACCCAAAAGCCTTCTCCTTCGTTACCCCTCCCACCTGACCTCTTTCTTTTTTTTTGTTGCAACAAACACGAAAAAAGACATTCAGAATAGAAAACAATCATGCAAAGAAAGCAGTTTTCACACAGTCACTAATACAGAAAAAATCAGATCAAAAACAGCGCTGCCAACAGTCAGTGCCTTCAGGTCTTTAGATGTTATTACTGTTGTTTCTCTACAGACTTTAGATTTGCTACTGGATTTGATAAAAACGATATGACAGACCATCTCCATTAGGCTACCAAGTCTTCTGACTAGACTGACCTCCTACTTTTGTTCATGAGACCTGGGGGTCCTACAGTTTATTAAGAACAGTCTTTGTTTCAGAGCCCCCATCGACCACAGGAAAGTTCATCTGGGAGGAGTTCTACAGAAAACTAGAGCCGCAGGAATGAGCTTAGGTTCCAATATATAAAAAAGGCATGATGTTCTCTTTTTTGGCATCCGTTCCTATTCTTTAAACTCTGATATATATTTTACTTTTACAATCATTTTTTTTAAAAGATAAGGAGTTTCATTCCATAATGAAGATCTTTGAATCTAATAATGGTAACTATCAAAATAAAGTTTTCTAAGAATAACTAATAAATTCAGGTCATATTAAGACTTTTATTTACAAAACTGTTGGTTTTCTATTAATAATCTTTTGTTCTTTGAATGTAACTAATCTTTCTGCATTTAATAAATTACATATTGGAATGAAACCCTTCAGCTGTAGATTTTTTTCATATACACATTCAGTTCATGATGCTGTCTCTCATAAGTTATTTGACTTTTTTAATGGGATCATTTTAACAGAAAGTTCTTTGTTTTACAGATATATTTTGGATATGGTACATTTTTATGCAGACGATACTCGTGTATTCGTTGAATCCGTGTCTGTTACAGTTCTTGCGAGCGGATGACGTGAAATAGCGTCACATTATACAGAACCTGGTGCCCATTGTTCCAAGCGTACAGGGCACGGTCCCGTGGGTTGTAGTCTAGCATTGAGATATGTGAGTACTTATTCTGGAAGGCAATGTCAATGTACTCGTACGTAGAAGAGTTAGTGGAGTAGGAGTAGTAGACCTTGGTGCCTCCTGAGTAGCCATTGGTGACGTAAAGAGTGCCACAGATCATGAAAGACTCGCCAGCACTCCTTTTAGGGTGGTTGGTGGTCCAGCTCTTGATGATCTGCAGAGTGTTGGGGTTCAGCTTGCTGATGACGATATTGCCGGCATTCTGGTTTGTGGCATAGACAGCCCACAGGCCTCCCTCGTCCACCATTAAATCAATGTCAGACTGGCCTCCCCAGGCGTAGTGATATGAATTACTGTAGCCGGCGTTGTCAATCTTTTGGGATTTGGTGATCGAGGAGGTGCGGAAGTCAAACTTCATGATAGAGTGGCTCTGGAACTTGTTGAAGTAGATAGAGCCATTATAGACCACCTGACCTGTTCCTGACCACGGGTGGGGCAGCCGGTGGGACGTGAAGTTATCCGAAGTCATGAAGTCATGCATAGACTTGTACTCTCGCACAAAGCGGTTATTGTGGTAGCCATCCATGTACCAGACCTAAAGATCACGAAAAAAAGAGAATTAAGCACATTAAAACACAAAACTACTTCAAAGCTCAAAATTTCTAACACATTCTCATGTCGGCCTCGTCAACATATTGATGCTTGGTCAGGGACCGTCTGTGTCCAGTTTTGATGTGTCGGGTACCTCCCACGCGTCCATCCTTGCCGCCTGCGGCTTTTCCGGGTTGCACCACTTAGGGATCTTTGGGTCGGGGGTCTGAGGTTAACATGAGGGATCAGGATTAATGGTTAATTTGAGATACTGGGGTCAGGGTTGGGCTGTATATAGCTAATAAAGGTTAAATTTAGAGTCTGGGATGGTTAATTCTTGCGAATTTTCTACATTTAAAAAAAATGGTTAATATGAGCGATCAGAGTTAATGGTTAATTTTAGGTACTGTGGTCTGGGATAGACTGTATAGGGCTAATAAAAGTTAAATTTAGGGTCTGGGATGGTTTGTTTCGCACATTTCCTACTCTTGTAAAAAAATAGAACAACCTGGGGGTCCTCCTCCGCCTCATCTCATAAAAAACTGATGCGCGGGGGGTACCCGGCGCATCAAAACTGGACGCAAAAGGCTACCTGACCAAGGGTCAATATGTTGACGTGGGGGGAGTGAGAATACGTTGAAATCTCATCACTGTCCAGCGAACCCTTGTGAGTGTAAAAGTCCTGCAAGCAGACTGCTCATCAAAAACCCAATCACTCACCAACAAGCATTCCAATTAATGCTGCAATATTTCAGTGAGCTGACAAAGTAAAATCTGTCAGCTTCTGAATCTAAACAGCCCCAGATGACAGCTGCAGTGTGTGAGGAGTCAGGGAGGGCTGGAATAATGTCCATCATTCCACAAAACGACTTGTCTCAGCTGCTTTTGCTGGGCTTCATGATGGTGCTTTAAATCGTGGGAATTCCTGGGTCACTAATACCTCCTGAATCTCAGTGGGACTGATTTAGCTGAAACCTCTTCACCACCTGACTGAAAAAACTATTAACATGCAGGAAGTGGTTTCCATGGGAGGAAAAAATATCTGAGGTCAGAAAACCAAAATTTAAGAAGAGGTGCAGGTCTCTCGGCTTCTGTTAACGACTAACTGCTACTTTTCAGGGTTCTGACAAGCTATTTATCTGTTCTTTTTAAAGTTGGTTATTTTCAATGCAAAAGTTGACTTTCTGCATGCTACATGTAGTATTATAAGTTTTATTCATGTCAGTAAGCCACACCTTGTCTACCTGGGATCAACATTTTGTCTTTGATTTGATATTGTAATCAGTGTGATGCTTTCATATGACCTTTCAACACTTGCAGTTTTATTTCATTTCCACAACTCGATCTGTCTGATTATTGCTTTTCTGCCTTTGAACCTTTTATTTTTCATCCAGTTACCAGAGCCATCCATCCATCCATCCATTTTCTGTACACGCTTATTCCTTTTCAGGGTTGCGTGGGTCACTGGTGCCCATTTCCAGCAGTCACAGTGCGATTGGCGGGGTACACCCTGGACAGGTCGCAAGTCCATCACAGGGCCACACATAGAGACAAACCAGACAAACAACCATTCACTCTCTCACTCACACCTAGGGACAATTTAGAGTTATCAATTAACCTAACAGTCATGTTTTTGGTCTGTGGGAGGAAGCCGGAGTACCAGAGCCACTTTCTTCCATATGAACAATTTCAATAAAATAAAACTGATCCATGCATTTATCATGTCTAGGATGGACTACTGTAATTCTTTATTATCTGAGTGTCCACAAGTCTTCAGCTGATACAAAATGCAGCTGCCAGAGTTCTGATGAGAGCTAATAGAAAATACTCCAGTTTTAGCTTCTCTCCACTGGCTCCCTGTCACATTCAGAACATAATTTAAAATCCAACTTCTAACATTCAAAACTCTCAACAACCAGGCTCCATCTTATATCAAAGATATTCAGACTGCAAGTCTGAAACTTTGAAGAGAAAACTTTATCTGCGTCTTTCATTCTCAGAGTTTTAAAGTTTAGTCTCACAGATAAAGAACAGAAGGAATAACTTTCTTGTATTCTTGCAGTTTACAGTTGTCCACTGTTCATTTTTCTGTTAAAGCCATATAATTATCTCTTGTACTTAGTTTTGTTGTTTCATAGTCATTACCGCTTGCTGCCAAAGCAAAGGGAGAAAGCCAAGAAACCTCAGAAAAAGCTCAGTTGGCTGTAGTTATTATTCAGTAACCTTTATTATACTGTATTGTTGTGAATGCTTCACAGTAGTCACACTACTGAGATCATTTTTTTCTTCTGTACGTTTTTCGGCATCTAATTCGTTCCACAATTTTTATGCTATTTCAACAATTCATATTTAAAAACATTCAGCTCATTCATGAGGGGTGCTATGACTTTTGGTGTTTCAGCTATTTACACTTTTTTTTTTAGCTATTTCACTATTTAAGTCAATTTTTGACAGAAAATTAATGGAGCTGTTTTCAACATCCTTAAAATAATTTTAAATGTTTCTAAATATTTACAGCACCTTACATATTTTGTTCTGGCTCTGCTTTTTTCACTTTCTTGTGCTAATTTTAGCAACTTTTTTTGCAAAATTTAGCTTTTTTCTGCTATTTCAGATACAAATCTCTTCTTTCTGCTGTTCTTCTGATTTTTCTACTTTGTTGTGCTTTTTTCTGCTACTTTGTGCTTCTTACAGATGTTTGCTATATTCAACTATTTGCTGAAATTTTAGCTAATGTTTAGCTGCTATAAGCTAAGGTTAGGTTTTCTAAGATAAATACATTTTTTGTAGCTATTACAACTTTTTTCAGCTAAGGTTAGCAAACTTGTGCTCCTTATGCTAATTAAATATTTTCCACCTACTTTTTAGCTGTTTTACTGAAAATTTCAGCTGTTTTACTTATTTTACTACAAACTATCATTTTTATGTAATTCTATGCTTTTTTCTACATTTTTTTCTGTTTCAGTTATTTTTTAACTATAACTATTTCAACTGGGTGCTAATTTCAAATTGTGGCTGCTACCTTAACTTATTTTATGCTCACTTTAGCTACTTTAGCGATTCTTCTATTTTTTTCTACTTTTAATACTGTTTTTACTGCTACCTAGTGCTATTTATGCTTCTTACAGATGTTTTCAGCTATATTCAGCTATTTTAGCTGTTAGCTTTTAGCTGTTTTCAACAAGATTTGTGCTCCTTTTGACTGTTTTCATGCAGTTAGGCTTTTTTTTGCTTCTTTCAGTTTTTCAAAGTGAGCTCCCATTAACACTTTTCCTATTAAATATGTTCAACTCAATTTCAGCAGCTCTCAGCTTAAGTTTTCAGCATGAAGCATTCACACAAGCATTTTCGCAGGAAACACAATTTTTCTAGAATACATCTGTTTTAATTACTTTTAAAAAGTAAGACAAAATGCAGTATTTATTAATTGTGTGTGTGTG